GAGAAACTCACCATGAGCCAGCAGTGTGTGCTAGCAGCCCAGAAAGCCAATCGAATTCTGGGCTGCATCAAAAGGAGTGTAGCCAGCAGGTCAAGGGAGGTGATTTCTTCCCCTCTACTCTGCTCTTGTGAGACCCCACCTTGGAATACTGCATGCAGTTCTGGTGTCCTCAACTTCAGAAAGACATGGAACTGTTGGAGCAAGTCCAGAGGAATCCATGAAGTTGATAAGAGGACTGGAGCATCTTCCCTGTGAGGACAGGCTGAGGAAGTTGAGGCAGTTCAACCTGGAGAAGAGAAGACTGTGTGGAGACCTCATAGCAACTTTTCAATATCTGAAGGGGCTAAAAGGGAGCCGGAGAGGGACTGTTAGGAGCTGCAATGGCAGGACAAGGGGTAGTGGGTCCAAACTGAAGGAGGGGGAGTTTAGGTTAGATATTAGAAAAATGTTACAATCTCTTGTTTAGGAACAGGTTGCCTAGGGAAGGTAGTGACTGACCCAACCCTGGCAGTGTTCAAAGCCAGGCTGGATGAGGCCTGGTCTAGTGGGGAGATGTCCCTGCCCATGGCATTGGGTGTTGGGACTAGATCTGTAAGGTCCATTCTAACCCCTAAAATTCTATGATTCTATGAAACCTATTCCCAGCTGTTCATCCTAAGTTACAGTTCAAGAAAGTGATTGAATTCTGCATGTTAGTTGACCATCTACATACCTTCTTGGTAGGGAACCAGGTAAGCTAAGGTATCTGTAGGTCAAACAGTAACAAAGAAACTATTAAAGCTGTGCTAGATATATCTGCAAGTTTTTGACCTGTCAGTTATATATAATGTTTTTCTTAGAATGAATGATGTCCATTATACTAGTTTACACAGTGGAAAATGGCTGACTATACAGCTATCGAAGGTGATACACTAGTGAAACAAGGGAGTTTTTATCACTAATATCTTCTGCGTCCATTTTAGAAAAATGGAGAATTAAGGTTATGTCCTCATCTAGCCACCCTCATCAGCCACTGTTTCATTGCTGTTAGTGTGTATTCAGACTTCGTATGAAATTATCTTGCACGTTTTAGGTTCTCTCTGCTTGATTCTGTAAGTAAACAGTGGCTACTCAGGATTATCTCTGACTGTCTGCACAATTTATTGTACTTTTCAGGGATTGCTTTTCTGTTGCAGTATAACTTAGCAGCTTCCTGAACTTGTAAGGCCCATAAACTATAATCCATACGAATTCTTCCAACCTACAACAGAACCCTTTGCATATTTTGTCAATGCACCACAGTACAAGGATCATTCCAATATATTACCCATCCCCAAGACCTCTGCCCTTGTCTGAAGGGATACAATGGGTTGTTAACCTTGTTCTCATTTGACTGCAGATAGAAGTATGTGAAGAGAAAGCTGCTGCTGTCCTTCCAGCTTCATGTATCCAGCAGTTGGACAGTGGTAACTGGAAAGAAAGACTTGCCAGCATGGAAGAATTTCAGAAGGTAAG